GCCCCTAGTGGGACCCCATTCTGCTATGGGCAGTTATGTGGCAGAGACACACTGGATGGGTGGAGTGGGCATGTCACTCCTAAATGTCAACAATTACAGTAAAGATGTGCATTGACACGGGACCAGAGGTTTAGCTGGAGTCCAGTTTATTCACTCAATGTACACGGTGTATGGCCCATCTCTAAGTTGAAGGACTGCTTAAAGGTTGACTTTCCCTGAAAGTGGTCCCTGCCTTGTCCCGGGGCATTCATGAGCATGGCACAGCAAGTGTCATTCTCAGTGCCTAGCATAGCCAGAAGAACCCACCCTGGTGTATGCCTCTAATGTCACCCTACACTTGGCGCTCAATGAGAGAACATGGAGGAAGGCCTTCCTACCTATCCTCCTTACAAGCCATTACACTGATAGGAATGTAGTCAACTCCTTGTCTCAATCATTCTTTATTGAAGTTTTCAACCAAAAAATACAGAAAAACAGGTGACTGAGGTGACAATAAAGGGATTTGTGGTACTGGGACCATGTATGGCCTACATAGAGTGGGAATGTAGTCAACTCCTTAATGATGTTCAACAAACAGGCTCACTATCACAACTGGTTCTGAAGGCTGTGATAGGCATACTATTTGAACAGATGTTATTGACCTCAAACGGGCTCACAAACAATTGTTCTGATTGGAAGGTCTGGTACTTTTTTGTGCATGACCCATCTGCTCAGTATAAGAACTCTTCTAAATCTTGCCTGCTTTTAAAGCCATAAACCGCAATATAATAAATGCTTGCTTTTAGGTTTAAAGTGTTACTAAACCCACAACGGTACAATCAGTCTGTAGATGCAGTAAAGCATGCTTGTTATACTCACTGTGGAACCTAAGGGGTTAATCCTCTGCATTGTGCAAAAATACTGTTTGCTCCTGACTTCTCTGATCCTCCCCTTCTTCCAGTGTCCCCCTCTTATCTCCTGATAAGACATATTTTGTGGAGTCACTCTGCACATGCTCAGTTTGGTGTGTATTTCTAGATTCTGTTTATTTTTTCTTAGGATAGTAGATGTGATCAGCACAGGGCGAATCAGCACTGTCCAGACAGAGGTCAGGGGTTCTGCGCCCTCCTAGAGCAAATTGAAAACTCCTCCTACAAGCTTTTACAAGTGCTCGGCTGGCCACTGATAGAAGTCACAAGACTGCTATATACTGCTGATCAGAAAAGGTATTTAGCAGTTTATATATTTACTAAAATAATAGCATTTTCATGTTCTGTATACTGTGGGAGACCAGATATAGTGAATGCAGGGTCCGGGGAGACCAGATATAGTAAATGCAGGGTCCGGGGAGACCAGATATAGTGAGTGCAGGATCCAGGTAAACCAGACATAGTGAATGCAGGGTCCGGGGAGAGTGGATATAGTGAATGCAGGGTCCGGGGAGAGCGGATATAGTGAATGCAGGGTCCAGGTAAACCAGACATAGTGAATGCAGGGTCCGGGGAGAGTGGATATAGTGAATGCAGGGTCCGGGGAGACCAGATATAGTGAATGCAGGGTCCGGGGAGAGCGGATATAGTGAATGTAGGGTCCGGGGAGACCAGATATAGTGAATGCAGGGTCCGGGGAGAGCGGATATAGTGAATGCAGGGTCCAGGGAGACCAGATATAGTGAATGCAGGGTCCTGGGGGGGGGCAGATAGAGTAAATGCAGAGTCCAGGGAGACCAGACATAGCGAATGCAGGGTCCAGAGAGACCAGACATAGTGAATGCAGGGTCCGGAGAGAGCAGACATAGTGAATGCAGGGTCCGGGGAGAGCAGACATAGTGAATGCAGGGTCCAGGGAGACCAGATATAGTGAATGCAGGGTCCTGGGGGGGGGGGCAGATAGAGTAAATGCAGAGTCCAGGGAAACCAGACATAGCGAATGCAGGGTCCAGGGACACCAGACATAGTGAATGCAGGGTCCAGAGAGACCAGACATAGTGAATGCAGGGTCTGGGGAGAGCAGATCTAGTGAATGCAGGGTCCAGGGAGAGCAGATATAGGGAATGCAGGGTCCAGGGAGACCAGACATAGTGAATGCAGGGTCCAGGGAGAGCGGATATAGTGAATGCAGGGTCTGGGGAGAGCAGATATAGTGAATGCAGGGTTCGGGCAGAGCGGATATAGTGAATGCAGGGTCTGGGGAGAGCGGATATAGTGAATGCGGGGTCCAGGAAGACCAGACATAGTGAATGCAGGGTCCAGGGAGACCAGACATAGTGAATGCAGGGTCCAGGGAGACCAGATATAGTGAATGCAGGGTCCGGGGAGAGCGGATATAGTGAATGCAGGGTTCGGGGAGAGCGGATATAGTGAATGCAGGGTCCGGGAAGACCAGACATAGTGAATGCAGGGTCCGGGGAGAGCAGATATAGCGAATGCAGGGTCCTGGGAGAGTGGATATAGTGAATGCGGGGTCCAGGGAGAGCAGATATAGTGAATGCAGGGTCCTGGGAGACCAGATATAGTGAATGCAGGGTCCTGGGAGAGCGGATATAGTGAATGCAGGGTCCGGGGAGACCAGATATAGTGAATGCAGGGTCCGGGGAGACCAGATATAGTGAATGCAGGGTCCGGGGAGACCAGATATAGTGAATGCAGGGTCCTGGGAGACCAGACATAGTGAATGCAGGGTCCAGGGAGAGCAGATATAGTGAATTCAGGGTCACTGTGCTGCCCGAAAACCTATTTGTGGCTTCTGAGAATTGTTTTGCTTGTTTTTGGGAGTTTGGAAGTTCTTGGTGTTGGAGATGACTTTTATTGCAAAAGTAATGAACAATAATGAATTTATCATGCTGGAAAAAGTAATAGTGTACACTTGACAAATTGTTCAGCGCTAAAAATATTTAAAAATCTAAATGAATAAAGCTAGTGCTAGTCACTTTGTATATTTTTTAGGACGAGTATTTGTATGGGTGTATTTATATAGGAAATGATATTAGCACTTTATACACGTGAATGTAGTTAGATACAAAATGATTAACTTTTTTAAATTTGTTAATTATGTCAGGGCTCCCAGGTATGACCAGAGGTGTGTGACTGATGCAGGGAAACGCAGACTTCAGATATGTGATAAACAATACAATTTATTAACACTAACAATACAAACATAAACGCAGTGCAATACTAAACATAATACAGTGCAAACAAACCAAACCAACCACCCACAGATAACAGTATATACAAGCAAGCGTCGTCAGGCAGGCCGGGTCAATATAAATAGGGCAGGTAGGTACAGGGGGAGCAAGCAGAGAATGGTCGGGGTCACAGGCCAGGTTCAGCAGGTAGGCAAGCAGCGTAGTACAGAGGGTCAAGCAGAGAGATGGTCAGGGTCACAAGCCAGGGATCAGGACAGGTAGCAGAGAATCAGACAGGAACAGAGAGCAGGAACAGGATACAGGGCCAAGAGAAACACAACACCAAGGCAGAGTCTGCAAGTCTGGCCATCCCTTAAATACCCCAGTATCATCAGTTCCAGGTGTTAGCTGGCTGAAAGGTTGAGTCTTTGATTGCTGGGAGCACCCGCTGGCCAGCCCTGGTACTGCAGATCAAAAGGCAGGTGAGTCCCACCATTGCTGGCCAGTCCATTCCTAACAGTACCCCCCCCCTCAAGGAGCGGCCTCAGGACGCTCCAAACAGTCCTAGCTGGGCAAAATGTTCCACCGCCCGGGTCTGGTAACTGGCGGGATATCAAAGACTGGCACACCGGGCAGCGGCACACCGGGCTGGACTCCGGGCAGAGGCACACCGGGCTGGACTCCGGGCAGAGGCACATCGAGCAGAGGCACACCGGGCAGAGGCACATCGGGCAGAGGCACACCGGGCAGAGGCACACCGGGCAGAGGCACACCGGGCAGAGGCACATCGAGCAGAGGCACACCAGGCAGAGGCACATCAGGCAGAGGCACATCGGGCAGGACTCCGGGCAGAGGCACATCGGGCAGCACTCCGGGCAGAGGCACATCGGGCAGGACTCCGGGCAGAGGCACATCGAGCAGAGGCACACCGGGCAGAGGCACACCGGGCAGAGGCACACCAGGCAGAGGCACATCAGGCAGAGGCACATCAGGCAGAGGCACATCGGGCAGAGGCACATCGGGCAGGACTCCGGGCAGAGGCACATCGGGCAGGACTCCGGGCAGAGGCACATCGGGCAGGACTCCGGGCAGAGGCACATCGGGCAGGACTCCGGGCAGAGGCACATCGGGCAGGACTCCGGGCAGAGGCACATCGGGCAGGACTCGGGCAGAGGCACATCGGTTTACCAGGCGAAGCAGCAGGCAGCGGGCCACCAGGCGGAGAGCGCCGTGTGGCCCCGGGCAGCAGGCACCGGGCCCCCGGGCGGAGCAGCAGCAGGCACCGGGCCCCCGGGCGGAGCAGCAGGCACCGGGCCCCCGGGCGGAGCAGCAGGCACCGGGCCCCCGGGCGGAGCAGCAGGCACCGGGCCCCCGGGCGGGGCGACATGCATCGGGCCCCCGGGCGGGGCGACATGCATCGGGCCCCCGGGCGGGGCGACATGCATCGGGCCCCCGGGCGGGGCGACATGCATCGGGCCCCCGGGCGGGGCGACAGGCACCGGGCCCCCGGGCGGGGGCGACAGGCACCGGGCCCCCGGGCGGGGGCGACAGGCACCGGGCCCCCGGGCGGAGCAGCAGGCACCGGGCCCCCGGGCGGGGCGACATACATCGGGCCCCCGGGCGGAGCAGCAGGCACCGGGCCCCCCGGGCGGGGCGACATGCATCGGGCCCCCGGGCGGAGCAGCAGGCACCGGGGCCCCCGGGCGGAGCAGCAGGCACCGGGCCCCCGGGCGGAGCAGCAGGCACCGGGCCCCCGGGCGGAGCAGCAGGCACCGGGCCCCCGGGCGGAGCAGCGGGCGCCGGACCCCCAGGTGGAGCGACAGGTCTCGGACCCTCAGGCGGAGTGGCGGGTGCCGGACCCCCAGGCGGAACGACAGGTCTCAGGCCCCCAGGCGGGGGCGGCGGGCACCGAGTCACCAGGCACAACCGTGGGCTCCGAGTCAACTGGGATGACCGCTGGCACTGGGTCAGACATTGGATCGTCTGGCTGGACAGCGGTCATCGGGTCACCAGGCATCAGGTCATTTGGCTCGACAGCGGGCACCGCGTCATCTGGCAAGGCAGTGGGCTCCGAGTCAACTGGTATGACCGCGGGCACTGGGTCAGACATTGGATCGTCTGGGCTGGACAGCGGGCACTGGGTCACCAGGCATCAGGTCATTTGGCTTGACAGCGGGCACCGCGTCATCTGGCAAGGCAGTGGGCTCCGAGTCAACAGGCACGACCCGTGAGCACCGGGTCATCAGGTACCGGATTGTCTGGCTCGACAGCGGGCATCGGGTCACCAGGTATGACAGCGGGCACTGGGTCACCAGGCATCAGGTCATTTGGCTCGACAGCGGGCACCGGATCAGGTACCGGATCATCTGGATCAACAGCGGGCATCGAGTCAACTGGCCTAATAGGATCGTCAGGCTGGATCAGTTCATCATGCTGGGTAGAGGCATCAGGCCAAGTAGAGGCTTCAGGCCGAGTAGAGGCTTCAGGCCGAGTAGAGGCATCAGGCCGAGTAGAGGCATCAGGCCGAGTAGAGGCTTCAGGCCGAGTAGAGGCATCAGGCCGAGTAGAGGCTTCAGGCCGAGTAGAGGCTTCAGGCCGAGTAGAGGCATCAGGCCGAGTAGAGGCATCAGGCCGAGTAGAGGCTTCAGGCCGAGTAGAGGCATCAGGCCGAGTAGAGGCTTCAGGCCGAGTAGAGGCATCAGGCTGAAGAGAGGCATCAGGCTGCGTACAGGCATCAGGCTGAAGAGAGGCATCAGGCTGCGTACTGGCATCAGGCTGAAGAGAGGCTTCAGGCTGAACCACGGAAGGCAGGCTCACCGGTTTGGATACTGGCAGGATGGTATTGCTTGGAAAGAATTTTCGCTTTTTTCTGGTTTTAACTACTGGAGCACTGCAAGTAAACGCAGGTCTGCAAACGAATGGAGCAGCTGGAGACAGAGAAGAACTGGAGGATGGAACAGGAGAGGGAGCGGTTGCTACAGAGGGCTTTTTTACAGGGTTAAAGGCAGGATAGGTGCAGCGAGTGGGAACAGGGTACTGACATGCGGTAGATAGCAGGGCAGGAGGAGCTGTTGGGAATGCAGGAATAGAGTTTTGAGGAAATAGATTAGAAGCAGGACTGGGTCTTTGTAAGCTGACTGAGGCTGGGTGCAACAAATCTGTCCATGTCTGCAGTACGGGTTGAACAAAGCTGAGCTTACACAAAGCCTGTCTGGTCAATGACTGCACTGCGTTTATACAGTCTCTTAGTACCTGTGGTGAACATGTGGAATAACGCTCCAGAAAGTAACCACATCATCCTCAAATAACCCACACCAGGGACTCTACCTGGTCTGCACTAAATGGTGGCAAAAATTCATCCCTGCATTCGGGGGAACCAGATGAAACCAATTCAGCACAAACTTCAATCAAAGGCTGCACCTCAGAGAACTCTATGCCCTGATCTACTAGAACATGAGCGAGCCGTATACATTCTAGCAGTTCATCCCGGGTATACTCCTTCAGAGTCTGATAAGCATACTCCCTGTCATCAAACACTAGCAGATATAAATATTCAACCTCATCCAGATCCATCCTTCCCATCAACAAGCCAAGATGGCTTCCCTGTGCAGCCACTTCTGGTCAGGATTGGCCTTGGTGTAATGTCAGGGCTCCCAGGTATGACCAGAGGTGTGTGACTGATGCAGGGAAACGCAGACTTCAGATATGTGATAAACAATACAATTTATTAACACTAACAATACAAACATAAACGCAGTGCAATACTAAAACATAACACAGTGCAACCAAACCAAACCAACCACCCACAGATAACAGTATATACAAGCAAGCGTCGTCAGGCAGGCCGGGTCAATATCAATAGGGCAGGTAGGTACAGGGGGAGCAAGCAGAGAATGGTCGGGGTCACAGGCCAGGTTCAGCAGGTAGCAAGCAGCGTAGTACAGAGGGTCAAGCAGAGAGATGGTCAGGGTCACAAGCCAGGGATCAGGACAGGTAGCAGAGAATCAGACAGGAACAGAGAGCAGGAACAGGATACAGGGCCAAGAGAAACACAACACCAAGGCAGAGTCTGCAAGTCTGGCCATCCCTTTAAATACCCCAGTATCATCAGTTCCAGGTGTTAGCTGGCTGAAAGGTTGAGTCTTTGATTGCTGGGAGCACCCGCTGGCCAGCCCTGGTACTGCAGATCAAAAGGCAGGTGAGTCCCACCATTGCTGGCCAGTCCATTCCTAACAAATTATATTTTATTATGTGAATATATATATATATATATATATCCCTAAGCGCAGGAGTATCTGGGTTTTTTCCACTTCGTAAATGAACCACCACCTTCTCCCAGTGAATTCCAAACTCACCAGAGCTGGTAGCTGCCATTACAGCAGCACAAGCGCCAATATAGCCCAGCAGAGACCTGTATATCTTGTCACAGTAACCAATAAATGGGCCGCATCCTCTTTGCCCAGTCTCTGGTAAAATAAGGCTCACCAAGAGAAAGAGATAATGTATGGCCGCTGCCGACCCAAGATCGCGCAGCTGCGTGACGTCAGCACTGTAACTCCTCCCCGACGCGTTTCGTCCAATGGGATTTTCTCAAGGGCACAAATTTTTTATGATGTGTTTGTTATATTTAGTCTATTATTTTGGAATTGTACAATTTATTTATTTGAGAAATACATCCTTGTCCGTATTATGTTTTTGACATTTTTATAACAATATTGTTTACAATTGTCAATATAATCACTGTATGACTGTAATATATGTGTTTCAGTCTTCAGAGCCCATATGTCTCATGCACAGAGTTTTGACCGTGAAGAAGGAGTAAACTTACTCTGAAACGCATTGGATGCCATTTAGGAACTCTGTTATGCTGACTTAATTCTGTATGGTACCATTGTATTTATGGAATATACACCCGCCTATTTATTATTCATCTATGTTCAATAAAGATTGATGTAACTTTTACATATTTTGGTGATGCCTTTAAAGTCCCATCCAGGGGGGCAGTTTTCTCCTATACAGATTGTCAGGGATGCGGGTATGACCAGAAGTGTGTGGACTGACACAGGGAAACGCAAGCTTCAGATATGGTACAAATAAGACAATTTATTAAGACTAACAATACAATATAAACGCAGTGCACCAAACCCCAAGCTAACACAAATACATACAACAAGGTGAAACAAACCCAAACCTAAACTGATAAAGATACACAGGTACATACACATATAGAGCACAACGTAGTCAGGCAGGCCGGGTCGATAACTATCGGGCAGGTAGGTACAGGAGGAGCAGGCGGAGAGAATGGTCAGGGTCACAAGCCAGGGATCAAACAGGAGAAGTCAGCAGAGGTCAGGATCAGGCAGGGTCGGCAACAAGTCAGGCAGGAACAGGAATACAGGAATGCAGGTTACAAGGTACAGGGGCCCATGGAAAAACACACACCAAGGCACAGACTGCAGGTCTGGCCATCCCTTAAATACACCACCTGCAATCAGCCCCAGGTGATGGCTAATTGCCAAAGTGAACCTCTGGTTGTTCAGAGCACCCGCTGGCCAGCCCTGGTACTGCAGCCCACAAGGCAGGTGAGTCCCACCACTATTGGCAAGTCCATTCCTGACACAGATTGAACAGGAAAGGTCATTTTTAATATCATTCAATTACAATACTTGTGTCGCAGTTGTATATGCTATTTTTTTTTTCTTACGAAAGTGGAGTTACACTTTAAATGACAATAAACTGATAACACAGTTGAGTTTCTCTTTAATGTTATGCGGGGTGACAGGGGAAAAACATTTTGTTGATGTTAAGCTCCACTATACATGTCCAAGGTTGTCAGTTAAGTGGAATTTTTTAGTTTCTGCTTCTATATGTGGCGCATTCCTTAGAAGAAGGAGCTAATTCTTGTAAATTCCTTTAAAAAATAGTCCGCCAGGGATGTTAGGAAGGTGGGGGGTGATTCAGGAATGAATTATTGCCCGTTATTGTCACAGTACAAGGTGATGAATGGATAGAGGAACACATGCCATGTACCAGCAGAGGGTACAAGACCCAAAGCATGTTTGGGGTCATGGGGGAAATCAATCATTTAAGTTTGACAGATAGTGCAGGAATGCAGCCCGACACTCCCCAAAAACATGACAACAGCGAATACTTCCCCCGAGACAGCTGGTGATATAAGGTGATGTCCCTTCTGGGCCTGGATCCTGAGAAATACGAATCAAACACCTCCAAGCGGAAAAGGAGAAAAAAAAATCTAGATTTAAGTTTAGATGCTCGCTATTGTGGACTGCGCAAGATACGCCACACCGCCGCTGTGACCTGCGGTCCATGCACCTTCCAACTTGCATGCCGTAGATGTCAAAGCACCTTTGCACTGGGTAGATGTTTTAGCCATGTTTCCATAACCTGCATGAAAAAAAGACTTGCTTGTTAAGGGAAATCTTATAAAAACAATATTTTTATCGGTGCCCTGATGCCACTGGGATGGGAAGGGAGGTAAGATCCCCTCAATGGCATCACCGAAAAAAAAAAAAAAAAACATAGAAAGTTTAGTTCTACCCCACCATATCCGAACCGTTACAAACAACAAGAAAAAATAAATAAATACAGTATATATATATATATATATATATATATATATATATATATATATACAGTATCTCCCAAAAGTGAGTCCACTCCTCAGATTTTTGTCAATATTTGATTCTATCTTTTCATGTGACAACACTGAAGAAATGACACTTTGCTACAATGTGATGTAGTCAGTGTACAGCTTGTATAACATGTAAATTTGCTGTCCCCTCAGAATAACTAAACACACAGCCAGGGCGGACTGACAACTCATGGGGCCCCCCGGGCAACAGGGGATCATGGGGTTCCTGTGTCCTTGCCTAAACTCAAAAAGCCTATGAAAAAGGTACCAGGGCCCCCTACTGACCCCGGGCAGTGCCCGAGTTTACAAATGGACAGTCCGCCCATGCACACAGCCATTAATGTCTAAACCGCTGGCAACAAAAGTGAGTCCACCTTAAGTGACAAATTGGACCCAATTAGCCATTTTCCTTCCCCGGTGTCATGTGACTCGTTAGTTAGTCACTGGAAGTTCAACATGGCACCTCATGGTAAAGAACTCTCTGAGGATCTGAAAAAAAGAATTGTTGCTCTACATAAAGATGGTTTAGGCTATACGAAGATTTCCAAGACCCTGAAACTGAGCTGCAGCACGGTGGCCAAGACCATACAGTGGTTTAACAGGACAGGTTCCACTCAGAACAGGCCTCGCCATGATCGACCAAAGAAGTTGAGTGCACATGCTCAGAGTCATATCCAGAGGTTGTCTTTGGGAAATAAATGTATGAGTGCTGCCAGCATTGCTGCAGAGGTTGAAGGGGTAGGGGGGGTCAGCCTGTCAGTGCTCAGACCATATACCGAACACTGCATCAATTGGTCTGCATGGCTGTCATCCCAGAAGGAAGCCTCTTCTAAAGATGATGCACAAGAAAGCCCGCAAACAGTTTGCTGAAGACAAGCAGACTGAGGACATGGATTACTGGAACCGTCCTGTGGTCTGATGACACCAAGATAAACTGATTTGGTTCAGATGGTGTGAACCGTGTGTGGTGGCGACCAGGTGAGGAGTACAAAGACAAGTGTGTGTTGCCTACAGTCAAGCATGGTGGTGGGAGTGTCATGGTCTGGGGCTGCATGAGTGCTGCCGGCACTGGGGGGGCTACAGATCATTGAGGGAACCATGAATGCCAACATGTACTGTGACATACTGAAGCAGAGCATTATCCCCTCCCTTTGGAGACTGGGCCGCAGGGCAATATTCCAACATGATATCGAACTCAAACACACCTCCAAGATGACCACTACCTTGCTAAAGAAACTGTAAAGGTGATGGACTGGCCAAGCATGTCTCTAGACCTAAACCCTATTGAGCATCTGTGAGGCATCCTCAAACAGAAGGTGGAAGAGCACAAGGTCTCTAACATCCACCGGCTCTGTGATATCATCATGGAGGAGAGGAAGAGGACTCCAGTGGCAACCTGTGAAGCTCTGGTGAACTCCATGTCCAAGAGGGTTAAGGCAGTGCTGGGAAAATTATGGTGGCCACACAAAATATTGGCACTTTGGGCCCAATTTGGACATTTTCACGTGGGGGTGGACTCACTTTTGTTGCCAGCAGTTTAGACATTAATGGCGGCACGGTGAGTTATTTTGAGGGGACAGCAAATTTACATGTTTTACAAGCTGTGCACTGACTACGTCATTTCTTCAGTGTTGTCACATGAAAAGATGGAATAAAAAATTTTCAAAAATGTAAGGGGTGTACTCCCTTCTGTGAGATACTGTATATATATATTATACTCACCGGCCACTTTATTAGGTCCACCTGTTCAGTTGCTTGGTAACACAAATTGCTAATCAGCCAATCACATGGCAGCAACTCAATGTATTTAGGCATCTAATCATGTGAAGATAGCTTGCTGAAGTTCAAACTGAGCATCAGAATGGGGAAGAAAGGGGATTTAACTGACTTTGAACGTGGCATGGATGTTGATGCCAGATGAACTTGTCTGAGTGTTTCAAAAACTGCTGATTTACTGGGATTTTCACACACAACCAACTCTAGGGTTTCCAGAGAATGGGTTCAGAAAAGAGAAAATATCCAGTGAGCGGCAGTTGTGTGGCGGAAAATGCCTTGTTGATGTCAGAGGTCAGAGGAGAATGAGCAGACTGGTCCCAGATGATAGAAAGGCAATAGTAACTCAAACACCACTTGTTACAACCAAGGTATGCAGAATGCCATCTCTGAACGCACAACACGTCCAACCTTGAAGCAGATGGGCTACAGCTTCAGAAGACCACACCGGATGCCACTCCTGTCAGCTAAGAACAGGAAATGGAGGCTAGAATTCGCACAGGCTCACCAACATTGGACAACAGAAGATTGGAAAAATGTCCGATCTGCTAAATCTCGATTTCAGCTGAAACGTTCACATGGTAGGGACGGGATTTGGTGAAACCCCTGAGAGAGGACCACCTGTGTGGCAGGGAAGGAACAGCCCAGCTAGAAGGCCTGGTAGCAGCCAATGACCCAGCACAGGTGAGGGACCAAATGAATAAACCTGCACCCCCTGGGCCAGTAAGGGGAAAGGAGCACTTTGGTAGGGAACTGGATTTGCTATCTTACCTGGGACTGTTTCACACTGAAGTGGCAGACACTGGATTTCCTGCCCAGGGATTCACCCAGTACAGCTGGATGAGGAGAGGAATCATTTGGGGTCTGAGGTGGTACTACAGGAGATGCTGGCTAGCTCTCCAGAAGAGAAACCTTGCTGTAAAGACTTGTTCATAGTTGCCATTTCCCTTGGGCATCCCATCCACCCCCTTACCCCATCCAAGTTCCCTAATAAAACTTTAAAACAAAGCAAAATAAAAGTTCAAAACAAAATTTTTACAGAAAATTTTATGTTAATCTTCTAAATTTCTGTCACTCGTTTTCCATCAACATCGCAACGCAAACACATGTTTATTATTTCAGCTACTCTGTAACCAGTCTACTGGTCTGCAACCCAGGTGAGTGCAAGTTAGAACATGTCAGAACACACTCGAGTGTGAATGTCTGTATGACTCACCACCATAGTGCTACGCTGTGGGCATTTCGGGGATTAAATTTGTGTGTGTTTGTGTATGTACACTGCGCAAACAAATTAGCGTATAGCATCAAGCCAATGAAACTCCTGGGATATTGATCTGGTCAGGTAAGTAGCAGAGGGGGGTTGTTAATCAGTTTCAGCTGCTTTTGCTGTTAATGAAATTAACAACAGGTGCACTAGATGGGCAACAATGAGACGACCCCCAAAACAGGAATGGTTTTACAGGTGGATGCCACTGTTTTTTTTTTTTTCCTACTCATCTTTTCTGACTGTTTTTCATTAGTTTTGCATTTGGCTAGGGTCAGTGTCACTACTGGTAGCATGAGCCGATACCTGGACCCTACAGAGGTTGCACAGGCAGTCCAAATCCTCCAGGATGACACATCAATACGTACCATTGCCAGACGGTTTGCTGTGTCTCCCAGCACAGTCTCAAGAGCATGGAGGAGATTCCAGGAGACAGGCAGTTACTTTAGGAGAGCTGGACAGGGCCGTAGAAGGTCCTGAACCCATCGGCAGGACCGGTATCTGCTCCTTTGTGCAAGGAGGAACAGGATAAGCACTTCCAGAGTCCTACAAAATGACCTCCAGCAGGCCACTGGTGTGAATGTCTCCGACCAAACAATCAGAAACAGACTTTATGAAGGTGGCCTGAGGGCCCAATGTCCTCTAGTGGGCTCTGTGCTCACTGGCCAGCACCACAGAGCTCGAATGGCATTTGCCATTGAACACCAGAATTGGCAGGTCCACCACTGGCACCCTGTGCATTTCACAGATGAGAGCAGGTTCACCCTGAGCACATGTGATAGACGTCAAAGGGTCTGGAGAAGCCGTGGAGAACATTCTGCTGCCTGTAACATTGTTCAGCATGACCGTTTTGGTGGTGGGTCAGTGGAAAAAATTCTTGGACCCATTGTCAGACTCTACGCTGGTGCAGTGGGTCCTGGGTTCCTCCTGGTGCACGACAATGTCCGGGATATTATCAGTGGTAGGGAGTGTAGAAAGGGAATAAAAG